GATGGCTCTGGTGACCAAACCCAAGAAATGTTTACTCAGACCTACTCTGTCACAGCTAAATCATCTCTCTATAGCACTAAGGCACCAACAACAGCGTCTCCTGTTACATCAACTACCTTTTTAGCTGCCAATCAGATAACAGAGATTTCCACCAAAGAGACTGCAACAACTCTGCCATCAACAAGTGACATTGCAATTACACAACAACCTCAACTGCTATCAAGCACAACTATCCCGATCATTGATGAATTTGAGTCAAGTTCTTCAAACACCTTGATAGACAAACACAGCTCAACTGTTCAAACAACAGAAATTTTAACAGAGGAATCATCGGCCAACTTTTTTTTGGCAACCACTGACCAAACAGTAGTTCCAAGCAGCCACTCAGACATAGTGATTGGCAGCTCACAGCAAACAGCTACTACATCTCCAAGCACCACGCAGCCATCCATTCCTATTATTGATGACATTGTTGATCAAAACCCTGATTTTACTACCAAAGTTGCGGGTAAAACATCAACCACCATCTCTTCATTGTTCAGTACAGAAACACCAGCAATAACAACAGCATTCCTTGCAACTGAAAGGTCAGAATCTGTGGTTATTACATCTTTGTACAGTACTGAGAGGCCTATTTCACCTAACACAGAAAAGAGCACAGGATCAATATTAACTGATGAAGAAGGTTCAGCTGATGTAGCCACTACACCTGTTTCTTCCATGTTCAGTACAGACACACCACCAGTAGTGTTAGAAACAACAAAGAGCACTGCAACAGATGAAACATCATTTGCTCTTACAGAGGTTCTCACGAAAGCAACAGTGGATACAGCTACCACAGTGTCTTCAATGATTAACACAGAGAAGCCATTATTGACAACAGCCTCACTTGAAACAACTGAAACAAGAGAAGTTTTAAAATCTCATGTTACTGCTGCTTCATCTCTCTACAGTACTGAGAAACCAACACCCTTGCCACCAATTACCTCCAGCCATTATCAAAGCAAATTCACATTCTCTACAGCAATAGATGAAATTCAGGCAGCTGAAACTCAGAGCATATCGCCTGGTGTTGAATCATCAACACAATCCTCACCAAAGTTCATGACAGAGAAATCTAAAGATCCTACCCAATTTTCTACTACAACTGAGGCAATGACAAAATCAATGCCAGGAAGTGGTGATTTTACAGAAGGAGAGTATTCAGGAGATTACACATATGTACCTTCAGATGAAAATCCCATAAAAACACCAACAGCTACTGAGCAACCGACTGTGGAACAAACAACCATAGCAACAACCACATTTTCACCATCAATTACATCCACATTTGTTGAGGAAAAAAGTTCAAGTAATGGAGAATTTACAACTGTCACATTAAGCCCCTATATGCTTAAAACCTCTCAACCTATGGCAATCCCCAGTGTCACAGTGTTTTCCTCAAAGGAACCTTCTACTTACATTGACGATGAAAGTTCTGGTTACTTAACTACAGAAAATGATTCAGAGTCAGGTCTGGACGGATCTGGTGCGGAGGAATCCATTGAGACTACCACAAAACCCCAGGATGAATTTGTTGTGACTACCGATGAGACTGAAATAGATGAAATGGAGAGTGCATCAAGTGCTGCATCCTCGACTCAATCCAGTGTACAGATTACAAGTACATTTATGTCATCAACCCAATCTCCACATATGACAAGAACTGAGATTTACATTACTGAACAGGGCAGTGGGGTTGACGTAGATGACCCTGAAGAGGAGAATTCAGGTGATTACTTTTTTGGGGGGTCAGCTACATTTGTACCACTTACAAGTTCTCCTATGATGGCCACTACTGAAGCAGCTACAAAACAAATCATTTTGTCCTCTACTGCTGTTGCTATTACTGAGGAGAGCTCAAGTGACCAAACAAAGTCCACAGAGGCTCTCTACAGTACTGAGAAACCAACATCAGTGTCAACTGAAATGGACACTTCAACAGTTCAAGATAGCTCAGCTGAGGCATTCACTCTGACGTCCTCTGTGTCATCTTCAACTGTGTCAACTTCAACTCCACCTGGGGCTTTGCTTACATCTTCAGGTTTATTTAAAATTGCTGAAAGTTCGGACCATGCTATCAGCAAACAACCCTTACTTTTGGAATTAGTGCCTTCCTCCACAGGAGTAACTGAGCCACCTATGAGTAGTACTGCTCCCTCCACAGGTACAAGCCCAGTGTATAGAAAGGAGCATGGTTCAGGTGACCATACCACTGATGTATTTACTAAAGTGGATGCTATAGTGTCTTCAGTGTTCAGCACAAAGAAACCAACAATAACAACAGCATCTCATGAAAGTGCATCTGTTGCTACTACAGAAAGTACAGAGTCTTCCCTGTTTAGCACAGAGAAATCTAAAACAGCAGAATCAGACAAAAGTGGAATATCTGACATTCCACAATCTACTGTAACTGTAGCTTCTTCTCTCTACAGCACTGAAAAGCCAAATATAACAACAGTATATGGAGCCACATCTGCCCAGTCAGTTAACATGTCTGCAACTGAAAAATCAACCCCAAGTCCAGCCTTTACTTTGACAGAGGGAGAGAGTTCTAGTGGCCAAACCGCTGAGATGTTTACCTCAAAGCCATCAGTGATAGAAAGTGTCACATTTGGAGAAGCAGCAGGTGAAACCGAAACCTTTGTTTCAGTTACACCAATCTCTGGTGAGCAGGTTTCCTCACAGGAAGGTGAAATTACTCCAGAAACAGAAAGCCCCATCACACCTGAAGCAACAGAGCCTCATGTTTCAAGCACTGGGAAAAATGGTGTTACTGAAGCTGAGCACATAACGCAATCCTCCTCTACAACTATGTTCCCCCATACAGTTGCCGCTTCAGTTGGTGATCACACTACAGTTGACTTCACCAGTGAACATAAACAAGATGGATTCACATCGATGTCCACCCCCATTCCCTCCATTATATATCATAGTGTTACAGACCAACAGGTCGTGATCATCACTCCTAGTAGCAGCCAAGCCAAGACTGACCTTACTGAACAAACACCTACCATGGTCCTACATGTGTCTAAACCATCGACCAGCACAACCATCATATTCACAGAGGATGCAAAAGATGAAGATGAGCTGTTCTCTGCAGATACAGATAATATAAGGGAAGGCAGCCCCACTCCAGAGCTTTTCACCAGAGATGATGCTATCATTAATGCAGATACTATCTCCATAGTTCCCTCCTCTTCATTTTACCCAACCATCCAGACAGAGGAAGCTGGAGGACTCACAGCAGTTACAATTACACCAAAGCTTGAAGTAACAGAAGAAGGTTCAGGGACTGATGGTGCTACCTTCTTTTCTCCTACACCAGTGACTTTACATGAAGCCTCAGCCACTAATTTGCCATTAGCCTCAATGTCTCCACTTCACTCCACTTCAAAACCATCAACTGTAGAAGGCGTTTCTAGTATGGAGACATCCAGTGAAGAGACAGTCACATCTGCTCCACAGGCCAGCCCAGCTAACACAGTGTTTACAAAGTCAAGCTCTAAAGAAACATATGCTTTAACTACACCACATGCATTTTCCCCTATTGAAGCTCATACCAAGTCAGTTCCAGAGCTGGTGATGGATAGTTCATCAGGCGAGGAGACTGATAATGTCACTGAGTCTGTTACTGAGTTTGCCGCCTCCTCATCTTTGCCTTCTCAACTTACCTTAACTGAAACAACAGATACAAGCTCAGTCACTCCAGTTTCCAGTGAGGAGTATATGGTCAGCACAGGTGAAAAAGTAACAGTGAAACCGTCTGTCACTTCTGTGTCAGACGTTACTGATACAGACACCTCAAGCGATCAAACTTCAGCTTCAACAGTGAAGGTGCAACCAGTAACATTTTCAGTTACCTCACCTGAACCTGGCACAGAGGAGACTGAAATAGCTGTATCAAGTACTGCTTCCAGTCTCTATAGCATTAGGAAGCCAACTGCCACATCCTCTGTTGATGTTACTGGGAAGGATAAATCAGATGATCACACTCATGTGGAAGAACCCGTGACACAGACAGCTGCGCCTCTGCACAGTACAATGAAAATGGACCAACTGCTATCTACAACAACGTTATCTCCTCCCTCTATCAACGATAAACTTTCAGTGGCAAGTAACACAGATGTTGCAAGTATGGATGGCTCTGGGGATGAGATCTCAGATACCACAACTGCATCACCTAAGACAGTGTCATCTGAGAGTGAAATAACTGTAGCCACTCCAGTATCCCTTCTGTTCAGCACAGAAAAACCAAGCACAATAACCCATGAGGATGAAACTCAAATGAGTGAGATAATGACAGATGTAGAGAAGGCATCATTGTCAGAGACAGTTTCATACCCTATTAATGGAGCAACATCAGCCCCAGAACATGAAGAGAGCACAAGGGACCATATCACTTCTACATCTACAAAAGAATCCATTCCTACAACCACAATGTCTTCTGTACAAAGCACTTCAAAGCCTGATGTGATAATTCAGTTTGTCACCACCTTTGCCCCAGAACTAGATACAAAACCACCTGAGGTGTCCTTCCAACAGGCCAGATCTGAGATCACATTCACTAATCATCCCCAAATTGACAACTCCTCTGAGAAAACTGAGTTGGCCACAACCAGCCCAATGTTACCCAATGAGGAGTCAAACCAACACTTTGAACCTAGTGATGTGACTCCCCAGACTGTAGTCACAACCACGCTACTGGAATATAAGACAGCTGAACCAAGCCAAGCATCTATAACCAAAGAAGTCTCAACTGATGCAGAAGGTAGCACATCTACTGATGTTACAATGACTTCACATCCTACAGATGAAACAGTAGATTCTAAAGAGACAGAGACTGCTGGGGTTGAATATACAACTCCAAAACCTGCAAGTTCAGGGACGGAAGTAGTGGTCACCACAAAGCCAGATGAACACATTTCCTCTGAACCTATTTCAAATACTCCCCAAAAGTCATTTGAACAAGCCAGGTCAGAGATTGCACTAACACACCGCCCTCACACTGATCTTTCTCCTCACAATGTATCACTGATCACAACTCCCCCTATGTTTGCAAGTCATGTAACAAGCCAGATTACAGAATCAACAACTGTACCTACTACCTCGTCTTTGGTGGCTGAAGATGTATCTAGTTCCAGTTTTTATCAGACAGATGAGCCCCCAGATTATGACTCACCAATCCCCAATTTAGCTGAAGCAGAGCCGCAAAACAGTGAAACTATAGCACCACAAAAAGTGTTTATTACTACAACACCTGCCATTCCTCTAACATCTGAGAGTGATCTTGTTGACTTTATGCGTAATACTGTACCTAGCTTAGAAGAAAAAGCAACTAAATCACCTGTAGTTTCAGCATCAGAATCCTCTAGTTCCGAAAGTGGTTCAGAAAGCCGGATCAGCTCAGAAGAAAGCATGTCCACAGCAAGCACTGTTAAGTTGGATGGTGATGTGGTTGGCAATATCTCCTCTGTGCTTCTATCTTCCACGACTAAGTCACCCTTTGTCCTTAGCAGTGGGGCTGAAAGTGGTTCTGTCAGTTCTGAGAGTGTGTCTGGAGAGATTATGACTACAAAGAAACCAAAGATTGACAATATATGGGAGCAGTCTCTGTCCCCAGATAAAATCCAAACTGTATTCAAATTAGATGCTACCACAGCTTCAAAGATGGAGTCCACTAGTGTTGATAGTGCCACTGGAAAAGAAGAAGTTGTGGGAAAAATTAAGGGAGATGTCTCTCCTCACACTGAAATACCCACTAGGGCTCATACAGAGTTTACAACAGTGACACCAGCTAAAGCACAAAACCAGTCAGTGTCAGTTGCATCTGTAGCCACCACTCAGCCATCATTTTCTAAGGATAATATGAAGCTGGACAGTGACATAACTGCATCTCCATCATTTACTGGGGAACCATTACCAAGAGGAGAAGAAACAACTGAGCTACCTGACACAGGAGTTGATTTGGGACACACCGTCATTGGTGAGACTGTTGAAATTCCAGGTATGTTTCTTCAAATGACTTTCATTGGAATACCTAAATGTATAACCTCAGAATAAATTTTCATTTAAAACAACTTGTTTTTCTTTTTTCAATCTCTAAACAGAAGTTCAATCGTGCTCACAAAACATTTGCTTGAATGGAGGATCTTGCTACAAGCGTGGCAGCATCTCCACATGTAGCTGTGCTCCTGGTTACAATGGTGATCTCTGTGAAACAGGTAGGATACTATGTATCTCTAATTCCACTCACAGTATCTCATTGTCTTAACTTTAACCCAAGAAACGTTAAATTATTCCTAAAACTAGTTTTAATGTAGAACAGACTAAGAATTGTTCTTTTTCTTTTGTAATTCATTATGTATCTTTCTTACATAGATATTGATGAGTGCCAGTCAAACCCTTGCCGCAATGGAGGTACATGTGTTGATGGGTTGGCTTCCTTTACATGTGTGTGCCTCCCAAGCTACTCTGGGCTGCATTGTGAGGAGGGTAAGTTTGTGGTTAATTTGATATATTCTTTCCCTAATATCTCTCTAAGTATTCTGGTTTAATGAATACAAATGTTTCATTTAGTGTTGTAACTAGTTCCAGCCATCCCTCTAAACTGTCTAGACTATTCTGACTATTTTCATAGAACATGATAGAATAAACAATTGCTGTTCTTGCATTTGATAATGTGTTAAGACACTTATTGTAATCACTCACCTGAGTCTCTGGGAAAGGTATTGCCAAAGGTTTCTCCCAGGCATTAGCTGAGTCATAAACACCATATTACACTGTCTAAAAGTCTGTCATATCTGATAATACTTGGGTTACTTTGGTCAGCCTCGAGCTTTCATTTCCAAAAGTTTCAGATACACAGACAGATGAAACATATCAGTGTACCCTATTTCAAACATTCAGTTTTTAGTACTATGTCAGATGTAGTCTACACCTCACTGCAGGTATGCTAGACTTCAAGTCACTTCTTGATATTTCAATCTAGACTGAAAATTAGTTCCTGATTAGACTTTTCTAGTGTCTAGAAAGGCATTTATCGAATATCTGAGTTTTTTTTAATATACCCATATCCCCATCATTTTACCTAAGTTCCTCAGTGTGGATGACCGGTGTCTACACCCTCAATTTTGTTGGGATCACTCATCAGTGAATCACACCCAGATTGTGTACTCAGACACAGCTGCTGTGTTAGAAAGTTTTGCCAGGAGAAAGGAAGAAAAAGTAACATGAAGAGGAACAACCCCGATAGAGATTCTGCCTGTGTTTTTGTATGTTAATGTTTGGAAGCTGAAGATGGGGAGGGAGGAACAGACAAACAGTAAACTGAGTTGCTGCAGTATACGTTGGTACACACATAATCACACAACATTGATAAGGTCAAGATGAGGGTGGTATCAAGGTGTGACAGGGAAAATGTTCATTCTTTAAGGAAATTATGCAAGATTTGTACTAAACCTCACCTTAGCCCAGGCTCACATTACCTGAAAACTCTAGATACATTTCACCTGGAATTTGGAATTTTGATTTGGTTTTGTAAAGAAGAGAAGAATAATCTGCTTTAGCATAATACTATATTTTTATACTAACTGGCACTTAATTGGATTCCTTCTTGTTTAGCTTCCATGTCCTTATAATGCTGATCTTAGTGGCTATAGGAAATTAATCCATCATGTTGTTCCTCTTTCATCTTGATTAGAGACAGAGATAACAGCAGGCCTCAAGGGTCAGTATTTTCAGGTGTTAAGAGTACTGTAGATGCAGTAGATTAGTCCACAAGTCTTTTTGCACATGTCTCCTAGTTGCACATATATGGATTTTATTAGATAGTGAGGTAAATAGATAGCATGGATTAATGTTACAGCTTAAACTTTATCCAAAATGCTTTTTGTTTTCTTGTATACCTTATTCCCTCTCAATTTATGTCCCATCAGATACAGAAACATGTGACTATGGCTGGCATAAGTTTCAGGGCCACTGCTACAAGTACTTCCCCCATAGAAGAAACTGGGACACAGCAGAGAGAGAGTGTCGCATTCAGGGGGCTCATCTGACCAGCATCCTCTCCCACGAGGAGCAACAGTTTGTCAACCGTAAGTTAAAGACTGCAATTGTAGATAATCAATCATAGGTACAATAACGTGTTCAAGTCCTACTTTACCAAATATACATGATATGATTAAAATGGTACAATTTCTCCTTCTCGAAAAAACACAAATATAGGCACCAAAATGACATTTCTATCTTTCTCTTCCTCTTGCATGTTCTGTAACTGAACAGTCCTAAAAAGGACATATGGCAACAGAGAAACGTAATCTGCTGTGTTTCTACCCTGTATGGCAGGTCTTGGACAGGACTACCAGTGGATTGGCCTGAATGATAAGATGTTTGACAGTGACTTCCGCTGGACTGATGGCAGCCCTATGGTAAGATAGGTTGTTTTCTCACATATTTTTGTCTCAACAAACATGGCACAGAGACAGTGTAAATATTTGGAAAAAATCCTGATGACAGATACAGTCATCTAGGGAGAGTCGTTCTTTTCAAGGGCTGTGGTGACTTTCTCATGACGTACTCCCTCTGCCTCATAATGCTACACCCTGGTGGGTGACTGCTCTGGTAATAAATCTGATATAGGACATGCTGTAAGGCACCACTGAATCCTTTTAATCAGTGTGAGCTCAACACTAGAAAACCAATTGCTGAAACAATGCAAGAAGATTACAATCCAATGTAAAAGAGTAAGCAAGGGAGAGAAATGTGCATTGTTCATAATTGCATTGTTTATAAACCAGCACATAAGCAGAAGTGAGTTTGCTATAGTGGCTATAGCTGCTGAAGATCCCCCTCACTTGACAGGAAAGTGGCTAATTACTATGTGCATCAGTGTTGTATAGATTGACTTGACTTCAAAGATAATCTTCCAGGACCAGAGATTGGAGAAGCATAGCTTAGACATCCTGGGGGTAAAAAGATAAGCACAGGCGGCCTGTGGAGACCCTCAGTCAGCTGAAAGATTAAGGGGTGATGAGGGTGTGAGTGACGCTGTGTAGAAGGGAGTTTGGCAGGCGTAGACAGGTATGGTTCCCCTACAACCCCCACATGCATCAGAAGGCCCAGCCTGCAGAAAACCACCCAGGGGTAAGGCCACCAGGCAGGCAGACACACAGATGGACAGCACCTGTGCTTGGAGAAAAAAAAACTGGAAGCAACCCAGGGGGACTGGGTGGGTGGTCACCTCCAGTGGATTTAAATATAATAAATTAAACAATTTGTAAAAAACGGTGAAATATATTTGGAATAGAATGTATTAGTATTAACAGTAGGGCACAGAATCAGAAAAGTTGGTGTATCTTTGGTTGTGTGTGTTTGCGTGTGTGTGGGTGATCAAAGTTTGTTTATTATTTTGAGGAGGATGCAGGCCTGCTGTGCAGTTGATGGGTCACCCATTTGTTAACTTGAAGTGAGCTGAGCAGGAAGTCAGAGTGTGTTTGTTAACCATAATGACAGAGTAGCAAAGCCCTTGGGACATGATTGGAGGAGGTGGGGTGGGGGGTGCCGGGGTCACAGCTTTGAAGAGACTGTTTGAACCTAGAATGCGCTGAAAGACTGCAGGTAGCATCAATTCCTGGTTGAATGCCCCACAGCGCTACAGCTGTGTGTATACTGTACTGATGTGTAAATGTACATCTGCGTCTGTGTGTATGTGTGTATTTTTGGGCCTGCAGAATTATACATGTAATGTTAGGCATGCAGACTATGTGATGTAATGACATAAGACTCCTTTATCATGAAACCCTCCAGTCCAGTACTTGTAGCTATGACTGGATATTGATTAAGTCTAGTATATGAGGTGATGTAAGTATGTGATCATTGTTGCTCATAAATAATCTTAATATTGCACTGGACAGTACTGTCTTTTGGAAGAAAAACAAACAAAACAAAACCAAAAAAAAAAACCTATCCACTATTATAGCTGCTCTTTCTGTGGCTTAATGTGAAATTAGCAGCCTAGTAATGTCACTGGCTGTTAACTGAATGTAGTTTATGAGCCCATTTTATAAATGTGTTGGTTTCTGTGCCTTGTGTCTGTTATACAGTGCCTGCAAGGGTCCCTCAGCACTGAACCATGAGGTCACAAAGTTTAAGTTGGCTGCTAGAAAGATATAGTTGCTCCCTCTTGTGGCCATTAATTAAAATTACAGTGATGGGGAAACTGCTGCCAATACAGGATCTCTAATTGTGCGATCACTTATGCGGAAGGAGATAGGTGGTAGTAACAATTCATGTGCTGACTTGTTAACTTTTACCCCACTGGTGTTTCCAGTGTGATGTTATGCACTTTATTATTTAGAGAGATAACTAATGCTCCTAAAATAAATTATAATATAATAATGTTATAATAATAATCAATAATAATAATCATCTGAAGGACACGAAACCCATCATAATGCCTAACTCTTCATGCTCTACTCTTTTTTTCAGCAATATGAAAACTGGAGGCCCAACCAGCCTGACAGCTTCTTCACTTCTGGCGAGGATTGTGTTGTGATGATATGGCATGAGGACGGCCAGTGGAATGATGTTCCTTGCAACTACCACCTCACCTTCACCTGCAAGAAGGGCACAGGTAAAAAGAATGCTGAATCAGCAGACATAATCTCTTACGTAACAGAATGCATGAATTCAGAGAGGACAAAATACAAATGTCTTCTGTCACTGTAAAATTCCTTGCTGTAATGTTATTGTCACTTCTGTTTCTCAGTGGCTTGTAGCGAGCCCCCTCTGGTGGAGAATGCACGTACCTTCGGTAAGAAGCGTGAGAGATATGAGATCAACTCGCTGGTGAGGTATCAGTGCCGGTCAGGCTTTATTCAGAGGCACGTCCCAACTATCCGTTGTCGTGGGGATGGACAATGGGATAGCCCTAAAATCTCTTGCATGAATCGTAAGTACAGTAAATATTGCTCTCAATACATAGACATAGTTCTGTGTCTCCCACTGTATAGTGCTTTGACACACACCACTGTTTTAAGGCTAAAATATCACTTTTGTCTGACAGCATCGAGCTATCAGAGGACCTTTATCAGAAGACATCAACACAATACTCTCTACAGCATCAACAACTTCAAGAGATGGCCGGATGAGGCCTTCCGCCTTCAGCAACAGCGCTACCGAGGAAGGAGAGACAGGAATGAACATAAGCAGAAGAGACAGTGATGGCCATGTAACGTGGCACAGTTTCGCCGAGATGATAACACATGGCTGATGCTTGTGTCGAAAGAGGAACGGATTCTCAAAGGAAAAGCACAAGAGAAAACTAATCAAAGAAACCAAGAGGATAACCAGCAGTGTGGTTGCATTTCAGATGACGATGGAATCTTATGAAGTGCCTTTGAAAGAGAGGCTGATACATGACTTTTCTTATCAAGGGGCACTGTTTTATAACAATGCCAATGTGGATAAAATACTTTCAGCTGGCTACTGGAAAAGCAAAAAATACACTCATCATTCTTTCTTAAACTGTGGAAGATTTTTCTTTGTCCTTAGCTTATCAAATAATACAATCATGACTGTTATCTAATACCTTTCTACACCAACCGTGCTATTCAAAATCACCATAAGTGTTCCTTATTCATAGAAAAAAAAGCTGTTGTGAAATTATAGCGCTTATATTATGTAAAGGAATCCATTATGTTGTCATGCTGTTTTAAGCTGGACTTCATTTTAATGAGCATGCATGCAAATGCATATATATTGAAGTCCTCATAATTTTAATATGTTTATTCTATGTCAAGAGATCCAAGTTTGGCTTCTCAGAACACAAATGGAGGCATCATTGGCAATGATTGATCATGCAACAGATTTTAACAGAGTTTATATTAGTAGAATATTATATCACATACTTTTGACCTGTAAACCTTTACAAAGAAACTTGCTCCAGTTTTCAAATCTAATCAACAGAGACACTAATCATATTCCTGAGAATGGTTTCATGGCTTTGCTAGCAGTAGTTATTAAGATTCCAGATTAATAATACAGCCAAGTCTGGGGAAATTTCACCAAGTCACTCAGTTAACTGCAGGAGACCTTCTTTGTAGTGGCAGCTTTCAAAGTACCAAATTACCATCTTTAATTAACTCTTGCCTTGTTAATTAAAGATGTCATCGATAACTGTTGATGGATAGATTTTCTTCTATTTTTAAAAACTTACTGATATACCTTTTGTAAAATGTTTTTTTCAATTTAATATGAGAGAGTACTTATCAACAAAGCCTCTATCCACTGATTGGGAATTGTTGTCCATCAACCTTTGAAATGTAAAAAGGGAAGTGTGGCTCAAGTAGCCTGTATTTTCTGCTTGTGTGTTTGGTGATAACTTACAATTAGTTGCTACAGCATGTTTACAATACCTGTTATGCTGTTCATAAGTATACACCAAAGAGTCTTGCTCTCATCTGTTGTTGTCATTCTGTAGCTTGTGATGGTTTTATAGGTAATGCTTTTCTTCTGCACACTTTTCTGTTATTGTGGTCAATTGGAATCAGCCATTGAGAGAATGTATTTTGTGAAACACTCAAAAAGACTTGAACGTAACGGCTGTTTAGGCAGAGATGCATATAATTTATTTTCAAGCTGCTCTTGATCTCCTTACTTGTTTTATACTCACAGGTAAAATATGATGTTGTCACCTGGCCCAGCAGTGCTCTTCATATATTTTTATTGTTTGTACAACAGGAGACCAGCCACAATCACAGACTGTCTAAAAGGAATGCAATGAAGATGAAAAATGACTCAACAATACAATGGATTTATACGTTTTTTTTTTTATCATGCCAGAAGTGGACCAAAGAATATGGAGGGCCCAATCGGCTGCAATACTGTTAAAAATGTTTGTACATGTGGATGGTTATGTGTCTCCAGCATTTTTTAAAATAGAAAATGTGTTTGTTTTGTCTGCCTGTGAATGTGTGTGTGTGTGTGTGTGTGTGTGTGTGTGTGCGTGTGTATGTATGTATTTCAGCCTTAATGTGCATATAATATCCTTTTATATTTATAACAGTTTGTTTTTTTATTTTACAATGTGAATGTCTGGGATGTTTGTGATTTTTTTGTGAGATCAAACTGTTTTTTCCTGCTTTAAATCACCAAAGAAATAAAATATATGGATATTATATGTATACTCATAACATTTAATTGGATTTTTTACAGATATTTCGGGAAAGACAGTGGGTGTTGTGCATGTTCTCCTTATGTTTGTGCAGATGTTGAGGTTTCCCCCTAGTTTCCGAACACATGCAAGTTTGATTAAATTCTAAAGTCTATCTGCAATTTTTTAGTGCTTTCATGAAGTAGCATACTGTTCTTTTAAACACATTTTTTATTGCATGCTTGGACAGTGTCCCTGTTATTGGGTCCTTTAAAACTAAGCTACATTTTGAGTGGAGTAAGTAGTGTGGTGGTTCCACCAGCAGGTAGTGCTATCAGACTAAGCCATAAACCTGGGTTTTTGTCTGCTCACTACCATGGAAAAGGGTGTATATTTCATTTCCTTCATGGAAACATAAAGTGAAGAATTTCCTCTGCATTCTGTGAATCACTATGACTCTCTGTAGAACATCATACCAATGTCCTACTTTCAAAGTATTGCAGTGTCTTGCACATACATCAATCACTTCTGAAAAATCAGACATGCTCTACAAGCCTCTTGGTAGACAGACGGTACATTCAGGGACAGCAGATAGGAAGAAGCAACGTGAAGCAAACATATGGAGTAAGAACTGGATTAGGGAGAAGTGATGCATTTCCTGAAATGGCTGATGCTGCAGAACTGTGGACCTGCATACCACATTACAGTTTTTTTAGTCAATAGCATGGCTGTAGGTGGCTCCTCTTGAATGTCAAATACTTTTTATGCCTGGTGGTGCATAAAGAGTGTAGATGAATTCCCTTGGTGTAAAAACAGAAGCTTTTTGAGTACATTACAATTCACCACTATTCCCAGAGCGCCTCCTTGTACAGCCATGACTTGAAGTTCACATCGACATGGCCTAATAGCACAAAACACCATTACCAGGGTAATAACATCAAGTTGGTGGATGTAATCTTTGTGTAAGTTGGGGTTGCTGTGGTTTTCACTGTGACTGCCTACTCTGTCATTAGAGAAGACTTGGCTTGTGATTAAAGGCCGCTCCTGGATGCCCCAATGAGAGTAAAACCTATATTCTTGCCTCATGAAATGCAGATGTCTCTTGGGTGATCAGTGAGAATACCTAGACCTCCCAGCCCAGGTCTCTCAGGGTTTTAACAAGCTTTCTAGGTTTGTTTTGGAAAGTAAATGCACCCTGGCTCTTTCTGATAGTTTCTTGGGAAAGATGGGCGCCTCAGACTCTGTCTAGTCCAATACAGAGTGTCTATCATTCACTCATGCTGCAATTTTCATGTCACATTATTTAATATGGGTACCTTTGAGTGACAAGCGTTGCTGAAAGTCAGCAAAACATTTGATTGCTTGAAACCACAGAAGCAAACCAAATGAAATGTTCAGCATTACACCAGTCAACAATGAGACAACATTTTATGATAAATGATCAATTGCACTGTCTGCTTCCAGCATTCTAAAATGACCCAGAGACAAAGAAAAGCTCACTTTATGCCACTAGTGTGCAGAAACATAAATGTTTTGTACTTTTTAGCACATTTTTTTTTTAATTATTAGCTGCTCCCGTGTCCACAGAACAAAAAGCATGCATCAGTGGACTCCACCATCACACACATTTACATTTGTCAGGCATTTCACTGCTGTATCATTCTAAATCTGACCCCATTCCCATGCATTCCCACAAACACTCTTAAAGACTGTGGTACTGTTCCCTTTGTCTAACGTAGTGGTGGGCTGGCAGCCTGGCACTGAATAAAAAAATGCCAAAGAATAAATAAATGTGAGGGGAGTCTAATCTCAAGTCCTCTCAGAGACATGGGCTCATGCCAGATACATGGGCCCTGGCCATGCCAGTTTAAACAATACTGTTTAATCTCTGCTTAAACCTCTATCCTCACATAATACATACTGATTTGGTTCTAGTGGAGCAAAAAATGTTTATTATTGAGAAAGGGACAAAATTGATTTAAAGGTTGTATTCTTTATTTCAAACTGCTTTGTTGAAAAAGGTACATGGCGATAAGATACAAAAATACTGTGTAACAGACATTTTTTGCTTTTACAAACAATGCATCACCATATTACCACATGTAACCTGCAGTAAGTACCACATGTCAGTGCTAAGGGTTAGAAAAGGTATGAAGGGATAATGTAACAAAAGCAAAATGCTAAATATCAACTTATTTTTGTAGCTGATATCTAAAACAGGTGCTATCTTCTGCTTGCAGCCTTTAGATCTGTTAACATGCTCACTGTGGTCCACAGAAAACTATTAGGATGCTTTTTCAGATCCAGCCACTTGCATGACTATTAATGAATCCCTATTTAGTGTAAGAGATTGACAGTATTACTCAGGTCTTTGCCAGAATAAACTGCCAGGGGAAATGTATCATTAATAGCTAATAACCTTAGTAAGAAACTGCGGTCAGAGAAGATATCAGCCCATACATTTTTTGTTATACTTGTGATTACTGTAATATTAGGTGTCAATCTTGGGGAATCGCTACTGTTAGGCAATCAGGTTTATGTTTTGATAAAAGGTTATGTTAAAGGGCAAAAGGGGAAAATCTCTACTTATTCTACATTCACTATCTAAGTGAAAACTTGCTGTTTTGTATGTGCCAAATGTAAATTGTCTTTAAACTACACTTCACAAAAACATCTACAAGTGACAGAATCTGTATTTATCTTCTTTAAAAAAGAACACTATAATGTAAAAAACTATAGTGACATACATTATTAAAAAAGTAAAAAAAACTAAATTTTGTTAAAATAAACAAACATAAGGTTACAATAATAAAAAATATCTTTTAAAATGTAATTGGGAGTTGATCTAATGGGAGCTATCAATGCAGAATAGGTCACAGTCCATCAAGACATTTACATTCATTTTCTTGTTAAACAGTAAATTTGATCTCAACTTCTCAGGTTGAAAAACCTTTTGGCAGTTTAACTTTCAACTCTGATTAGAGAGGAATCCCGTGGAATACTTTCTGCAATATAACATGTATATATCCATAGCTTAACAGTGGTAGCCAGGTTATCTTCATGACTCAGTAATCAATCTGAGGTCCTTCACTGATGTGATAAATGCATAAAATATCACATTGTTTCATTCTTTAGACAAATTTTAGAGCGGCAAATATCATCTGCACATGAGCATAAATGCTCTAAATCTTGAATTTCACACATCTAATCATTCTGTGGAGGACAAACCAAACTTAGATGATGTTAGACAACCATCAAGCTCTTGTCTCTGTCACATCACTCATACATTAACACTGTTGCCTTTTCCCTAATAGTCTGTGTAAAATTGATGAATGCACAGTTAGAGAAAAACAGAACTTAATGGCTACAAAATATTTTGTCATTCATTACATATGGATGTAAGATGTACAGTATTTGTTTTTAGGCGTTAAAAAGGGTTATCACAGTTTCAGAAAGGTATTGAGTTTATGCTTGTTAAGATCCAAAGCTTGTATGCTTTATTGTTGAATTTAATGGTTGTGGTTGTTGCTGCTCTTTGGTGGTTATGGCCTCCCTACTTCTACCTCCTCACTGCTCAGCCTTGAAGCAGTAGACGCCGTAGGACTTTTGCATTTTGTCTGGGTATCCATGAAGGCGCACTGCAGCTTCTGTGGGGCTGCAGTTCTTGCGGGGCCTGGAGATGGGGTAGCGGACACTTCCGTCAGCCAACCAGCCAGCATCGCAGCGATCATAGCCCTCAAGCTTCCAGGCGGCATATATGTGGCCCACCTTGGCAATCTCTGCACCATCGTCAAAGCATGCCTGCATAGCCTCTTCAAAGGTCAGCCTGTCAGGTTGGACCAGCCAATAGAAACGACCTGACAGCAGTGAGAGCAAAACAGAGAGAGCAAAACAGGTCATTTTCTGGGTTCAAGAAGCTGTATTTCCTATTATTTACATATGGGTTTACCAATCTAAGCCATATTTGGCAAGGTTTTAACAAAACCAGAACTTGCAATGTGTTTCCTGGTACAAGCCAACCACAAGAACAATGTATGACAAAAACAATGTAAAGAAAATTTATTAAAGCAAACAAACAAACAAAAAACCCAACTCACCCTTGAGTGCAGAGGCATAGCAGAACACATCATAGCGGTTCTGTTTGTCACGGCGGCCATAGCTTCTGAGGCCAGGCCCATTGTTGGTGCCACCACAAGGCTCTCTGGGTTTGGTGATGGGGTACTGCACTGTGCTATCACTTAGCCAGCCAGCATTGCACCAGTCTAGGCCAGCCTTCCAGGCCTCAAACAGCTGGTCACGGCTAGCGACCACAGCATTCTGTTCCGCACAGGCCTGTACAGCATCAGAAAAGTTCAGGTTGTAGCGGCCAAAACCGGGAGCGGCGAATGGAAACACAACACCTGAGTGAGGCAAAATAGATAAAATAAATGTTATAATATGTCAATCTGTCAATCTACATTTTAGTTTAATGTTAGTGAGTGTAGGTCTATTAGTCTTTCAGGTCCAGCAGCTTGCAATATGTCGGCAATCTGCTAACTCATTAATTTTGTGCTTTTCTACCCCTCTGCATGGAAGAAAAGATCATGTTCTGCTACTAGGCGTTAAGTTCTGCTGCATTAAAGATTAAAGCAAAGTGCTATAGACTGCTTTAACTGCATGGATCCAAAAAGAAGTAATAAAATAATGATAAAAAAAATTTATTTGCACATCAATACAATCCAATACATGAGAAATGTATACATGATGCTGCAGACTTAATAGCAGAAATACTTTGATAGTTTACTCATCATGGTTCATTTCTTATACCAAGTTTTACCTCAATACATTATCAACTGTATTTCATGATTACAAAAATAACTGATCCAAATTATATTTATACAGCTTAAGGTTAATAGTATTCTGCTCACACTACATTTATCTAAAATTACATGTACGTGTTCAGCCTCCACCCAGATTGATCCTTCACACGTGTGAAAAACTATTAACTACTAACCCTTTTGTGCTGAAGAGCTCTAACATACTGCAATGATTTAGTGTCTTACCATGCAAGGTTTCAGGAATCTATGTATAAATATGGAAATAACCCTTAACTTGCATGAAAAGCACTTTCTCTTTGAATGGTGTATTTCAAAAGGAAGACTGATCTGACTTACTCATCATAAAATCTGATGAGTAAGTCAGATTTATGAGTATATGGCCTGGAAAAGATGGAAAATGTGTTTTTGTTTACTTATTTGAACAGTATTCAAATATAATCACGGCTGAATCATTACAGCGGGTTGGATAAATCAGCCCAAGCTGTCTTCTTTTTGTTTTTCTTTTTCCACAAGAAAAGAAAATGTGGATGTTTTTAATAAATAGAAACAAAAACATTTCTGAGGAAGATGATTAATCCTGAATGAACAGGGAAAGGACACGTATAAAACTGGGGAAAGTCTCCTTAGTGTCATTACAGCTGGTATATTAACCTTATCCTTAAGCTAAGTTTCTAAATAGAAAAAAAAAACAGCATTTACCATCAGTGAGACCAGCTTGCACTTCCAGGGTAATCTCTTGGTTGGTGTCTTCCACCCCATTGATGATCTCACAGCGGTATTTTCCCATGTCTTCCATGGAGACGTCAGTTATTACTATGGAGGCATCTTCGCTGTCATGCTCCTGCAAAAAGACACGGTCCTCGAAGCTTCCATAGGTCTTCTTGTGGAATCCCATTGAAAGCAACACATTCTCATTCAGTGCTTCATCATCTGCCACCTTGGTCCATTTGACACGGATACCAAGGCTACCAAAGGACAAGGGGTCCTGGGACAGGAGCCTGCAGGGCAGGGTGACGTTGTCACCTAGGTCAGCAAAAACCTTAACTGGAAAAGAGGAACACAATATACTGTAACCTTATTGGGGTTTGGTTAGGCTTATGATACTTGGACTTAAACAGGAAAATATTATGTAATGTTTACATACATTTTGTGCTTGGCAGGAAACGTAAATGTGATTTACAAAAATTCTGTTTGAGAAAACACCAAAAAGGAAAAATGCCTGAACACTGCTTTTTCAAATTCTTCCTTCTTTATTGATCTTTCTTTTTTGTATGTAATTGTTCCACTGCATGTTTTGGTATATATTGTACATTATGTTTTACTGCACATGAAAAAGCATTCTCACAAGAGTGTCGGGGTATCCTGTTTGGTTTATTAGATACAGTATTGGACACCAGCCAATCTTCATCCCCTGGAGCCAATTATACTCTTCAGTCTCCTTCCTGCTCTTGTCAGCCCTGGCACTTCTAAACCTTTAGTTCTCAGCATTAACCCTCAAAATGAAGTGCTTATCTTACATCTGCCGAAATCTGATTTGGATGAAGCATTTCAGTATACAAGTGAATAACAGGAAAAGTAAGCAGATAATATTTAATGATTTACAGGATCTAGCTGTCATCATTATTTTTTCTTTTGTGTATTTACTCTGTGCACTCCATTTCTGTCCTCCCTGTCCAAACTAGGCCACCATTTAACTCGTAGCAGGCCATTTATGTCTCACCGTGGGCTCCCACAATCTCCTTGACCTCCATGTTTAGACCTCACAGGGCTTGCTTAGTTAAGAAGACCCCAGCCAGCAAGGGGTGGCCTGTACCAGGCAGTAATAATAAGCACCAGATGGATGGATATACATGGCCCCTGACCCCCACCACCACAGGCCTTGAAAATTCTTCTGCAATGCATACGACTTGTAAAATAATATGGTAATTACATAACTGAATAAATCGACTAGCCTTTAAGCTATGTGGTCTGCAGACATAACTATTAATCTTATGCCACCAAGCAGTTTTCGGCTGAATCCAGGTTCACATTGTCCCTTGAGTATCTATTGCCATGTCTAGTATTCAGTAAAAAACCCTGAGTTGCTCTGTTTCTGATTTATGTTCTTCCCACTTACTCAATATGGATGATTTGTGTCTAAACCAGACTGCTTCTCTTTTCTGGCTGAGAATGCCAGCATTTGTGTTGAGGTGCCTCACTTTGAGCAGCAATACCAGAGCCATGACTGGAATACTGTGTCACTGACTCTTCAACACGGAAAACGTTTCCCACATGGGCAATGCAAGAAATAATTGGGGCCACTGGAGTGCTGCCTTCCGCTCTGATCAACCCATTACCTGCCCCCCCAACCCACATGTACACACATGTAATCAGCCCCATGCTTAAACTGTCCCAATCCTCCATTCTAACCCCACAGTAGACGTATATCTGGACTTTGTTTAGTGGTGCTCAGATCATTACTCTTGAGCTCTCCAGCAGAAGGATTTAACTAGCAGAAGCACTGCTGACAGACCGAATCTACCCTTCTGTCCAAACTTGTGACATTTTTCATTAATTTTTTCATTTCTTTCATTAGACTGCAAACCTTCTTATGTGCCAGAGGTTACTTCTATTACTCAATCACCACACCCAGTGGTCTAACTTGCCTCTTGACTGGTCAACAAGATGCCAGGTATTTTACGAGCTAGGAAACACCCTTCTTAGCCGCTGCTAATTACTAATGTCTTTGAAAGCATTGACGAGTTTAAAAGCAGTCTGGACAAGGATCCTCTTTGGCTGTTCTATCAGTGAGGGATGACTCACGGCTTCGCTGTGCCTCATAAATTCACTGCATGGGTAGCAGTTGCATGAAGTGTGATTGAAACCTGAGGGATCCAGAATGACTAAACTGCTCATCAAATGCCCTGGCAAAGGTGAAGGCTAAGGTGACGTCAACACCAGCTCACCAGATGTGACGCTATCCAACATTTATACCTTAAAATTTCCAGATTTCTACAAGTGGGTAGAATAAAGGGGTTCATTGTACTGTCTTATGAAAACATTGTTCTGGCCAGAGACAAAAACCAACCACTGGATGTGGTTTGTAATCCTGAAATGTGAGACTGAAGGAGGGGATTGATTATACATCACAGGGCTAACATAATTCTGAGAAAAGAACTTGCAAATTACTGTATCTACACTAACCTTCACTAAATGAAAGCATAATGAAGAATTCTGTCTTTTGGAAATATCTGGTGTAACCTTGAAGGTAATGATGCCTGAGAGACAGTAGTAGCAGACAGAGAGACAGGCATGTTGAAAGTAATTCCACACTCCTTCCTGCTCCTGCAGTTACCAGCAGACACATGTCCCACAGGAGAATGTGGCCCCAACCATGTGGGGCGCACTACACTCATAAAACAACAGCCTGTTGTGTGTACTTAGCCTTTCAGGAAGAGAATGGGTTCTTTCTTTTCTTTGTCACACCTCAAACCACATCCTATTTATATAAGACTCTCTGAGGTCAAAGGTGGTGCGAAATTGTCACATTTAACATAAAAATGGGTCCTCAAATAATTCTGAATGGTTCTCAATCAGAAGGTTTTGTGGAGTGCAGCTGGGAATGAAAACACAGCAAAGAAGCAAATGGACACGTGTGCATGACAGTAAAAGAGTTCTGCAGCTGCAGCCAAGACCTACTGCCATTTTATGACCAAGCACAATTCTCTCTCACTCTGTTAAAAGTTGCATTAGCAAGTGATTGGAACCATCTGCTTCTTTGTAACACCGAACTGTAAATAAAATTACAGTGGTCCAAGTCTACTCAGTGGCCTCAATACTCTGAAACTTCAAGAGTCTAATTATGATGTTAAACCCCTAAGCATAATTTTTGCTTTAAGTTATTGAATTAATAAAATGTTTAATTAGCTTGCATTCCTCCTCTAAGAAAGATTAGAAATCATCAGAGAACAGTCATAGCATGTTTATATCAGTGTGTGCACAATTTGCCACACCCTCTGACAGAGCAGCTAGACATGAGATGCTTTACAACATCCCACAACTTTATTCTCTCCTGCTGCTGGCCTGCTTGTGTCAATATGGAGAAAGAATTAACGAGCACAGCTGGGACAACTCCTACACACTAATTCCAATAAACTTTTTCCTGCATTCTGTCATGCAGAACAAGCACAAACACAGAGTGTGGGTGTGCATCACTCACATGGGTACACATATATAGGCTCAGCACACATGTACCGTTGACTGTTATCAGAAACATTTGTGCAATAATTGCAATAGCACCAAACATGGCTCCACTAACATCTCATCTACCAGCCTGAGCACATTTTCAACTTAGCCCCCAGCCTCAGCCCATTTCCAGCCAAGCTCCTTTTCCCACCCATCCCTAGCAACCAGGCCAAGCCTCAGTAACCAACAACTACAGTAAGCATTAGACTTAACAGACTATTACCTCACAGGGAAAAACCAGAGTAATTTGGCTGCTGTTCAGCATGGGGCTCTATACGTTTGGCTGCGGGTCGTTAATCTTAACTCCGCTTCTGTCAGGCTGCCTCTTACCGTGGCAGCTTTCCAAAAGCTCCCAGTGCCAGAGTGAGTCAGTAGGTATAAGGACAGGCAACGCCCCATGAACAGACAGAGAATACACTGCTCATATGGCCAATAAAAGCTATACTGTATGGAACAATGATTAAGCTGGCCTGAGCTTGAGCCAATGCTTTTAGGATGCAGACAGTGAGGTCATGTATAAACATACATGTACTGTATAGACACAGTCTGTGTCACTCGGAGCAATTTCAGCGTTTGGACCAAAAAGCATAATCTCCTCCCAGAGTGAAATTATTCTCCTCCACAGACAAACTATTTCCTCCCGTCTGGGAAGAGAGAGTTGAGAAATCCCTAATTTGACATCTACTGAGTCAGCTTGCAGGGCTGCAGAAAGCACATTGAATATAACTAATATAACATAAGAGCTTCTCCTGTAGCCAGCCCCCCCCTTTTTTTTTCCCAACACAGCGGTAGATCTATTCTGGTACTTCATAGCTTGCGGTTGCAGCAACCATCTCAGTGTGTCATCCAGTTGGCAGGTGTGAATTTGAATTATAACAGCCTCACGATGGAGTGCAGGAGCTCTCTGATAAGACGTCTTTCTAGGTTTTTATTTTCTGTCTGCCACAGGAAGAAGAAGACACTTATAAAATGACAAGATTTTATTATGGGAAATTCTTGACTATTTTTGCATTCTAGTAAGAATTCACATCCAAAAATGAACAAACAATACAAGCCAATTTCAGCCACTGAGGCACCTGTAACCCATTTTAAGGGTACAACCAGTAGTATTAATGGTGTGGTCCTCATTCAGTAGTGAGGGCAGCAAGCCACTGTGAATGACAGGGTGATTTACAGTTTTCACCAGCCAGTCCATGCTGTGGTGGTCTGTATGCAGCAAGTCAATGAGTCAATGGTGAGTCACAGTGTGTCTGTGTGTGTTACCCCAGAGACGACTCTGTTACCTACTGCTACAATGACCCTGTTGTTACACAAGCCACAGCTATGGTACCACTTTGCCCAGGTCCCTTACACAGTTCATCCTGCGGTTCTTCTTTTTTTGCATGCATGGTAGCACTTTGCACTTAAATGCATTTACAAAAGATGCAGACAAACAGACATACATAACCATCCACATACTTCAATATGAACTTTTTTTTGTTTTTTTTTTTACATAAATTTAATCTTACCTGCTGCTGGTGAGGGAGAGCTTGTCACCTGACTGTATGGACTGGCAACCAGGCTCAGGGAGATTATTGTGATGCACAGCAGACTCGTCATTTTCTCTTTTTTTCACACAAAAGCCCTCTTCAATAAAAATATAAATATAAAACTTGAAAAGAAAAAAATGCACAAAGTTTAAATATTTTAGGAGAGCTGAATGTTAGCTTGAATAAATTTTCTTCTCTTTTAATTTTTATTCATCTAGCTGTCCCTCTTTCAGCCTGTCTTTGTGCAGCAGCCGCCTGTGGTGCTACTGGAAAGTTTGGGCTCCTAAGAGGTTCAGACAAGTGCCTTTTATTGTAGCTTTGCATGGTTGAGACCACTCCCCCCACCCCTCAGCCCATCACCATGCACAACTCTATACTGGCTCCCCTTTGCCACATTATTTAAGAAAAACTCCCTCGAGGAGTTAACAAAACTCCAGAAAATTAACCTGCATATCATTAGCAAGAGTAGCATGTTAGAAGTGGAACTACAAAGATTCCTTTGAGAAATGCAACACAGTAAAAATATTCAGATATACATCTATCCTCACTAGAGGCAGTGAGTGAAACATAATCTTAAAATACAAAAAATGTCCCGTGACTGACAGCTTTGGTATGTTTTCACTTTATTAACTGTGATTCATTCTGATTTTACACCCCATTTCATTATTTCTGTTTTTTTTATTGGGGTTAAATTACACAAATCAAAGTTAATGTTCATAAGTTGTCATGCATTATTCTGAACACTGTAAATGGCCTGAACACTTCCCTTCATCCACACACACACAGATGCACGCACACTCAGCCTCAGCTTGTGTGCACATTTGATGCAAGACCATTAAATGCAAAATGGTCTTAAAGATGATGTACATCAAGGTCTCACCACAAGTCATACTTTTACCTTATCCTCCTTTGCTGCTTTTATTTATTACTCTCTCTTCTCTTTTATTTCTTTCTTTTCCCTAAAGCTTTTGTTCTGTACATACATTCAAGGATATGTTTTTTCTCTCTCTTCCTGTTTGAATATGTTTAAAGTTGTGTTATAAACATCTGCAACTGAGATGGTTAAGAGACCAAGTCATCTAATACCCACCCTCCCCACAGTTAGACCCCAGTTACTGTAAATTGTGTGAGCATGTTTCTTTCAGTATTTTTTAATGCTGTAGCAGAGCAGAGACAGCAGAGCAGCTTTAGGGAGGTAGGACATGGATTTGCGACCAGCTATGAACAACGGGGGCCTGTGTGGTCCCTCCTAAACGTTTTCTCAGCCGTCCAGAATGTCTTTGAAAGATGGCATGGCTGCGAGTGGAGCAACACGCTGCAGATGCTGTTCTGGACTACTCCATCACTAGAGTTATTACAGCTGGGACAACCCAAACTGTTTTCTTTCTCTCTGTCTCTCTCTTGCTCTCTTCTGCCCTGTCTGTCAATCCTTCAAACCCCAAAGAGATTACAACAGAGTACATGGTGGGGACCTGTTGTATATTCTGCAGCCCCAGCCTGCCCTGTCCCCCAATCCGCCAAGGAACTGTTACATAAGATGGGTATTGGTTAAAAGATCTCCATTGAAAAAACATAAATGGTCCCAGTTTTAGGGTGCTAAAACCAGAGCGGCAATCACCTCCTGCACCATGGCTGCATCTGTGACATGCTCTGGGGATATCAAAGCCAATGTAGTCCCCAATTGAAGTCATTTTGCTGTTGACAGCAAGATTGCTGTGTATAAGCGGGTACTTCCTTCCTTCCCAACAAAAAGGCATTTGTGAGAACACAAAAGTCTGGTAAACATGTGTTTGAAAGAAGTAACTTTTGGGTTCCAATATTTCCATTCAGTCCCACTTGACAAAACAATTCAAAGAAGAATAGGTTGTGGTATCTTTAGCAGTGCTGGTGCAAGATAGACACAGTACAGTGTGCATGATAGACGCATAAAAGAAACCAGTACAATCAACAAAAAGTGTTACTTGGCTTAACATGTTGCCAATCCATCAGCAGATATTTAAGCCACATTATGACACGGTAAATATTTGGGTAGTCAACATAATTGTATTTGAAAGAGCTTGGCAGTTAATAGAAAACCGCAGTGTGGCTTTGGGTTTAGAGAAACTGCATGGCTTGTACTTGTTTCATCTCAACATAAAAACTCCTCTGTGTTCTCTTCTGATGAAACGTGAGTGATGAAATCTTACATAATTGCTGTGATTAGCAGCTGCACGAAGGAAAACACATACAGTAATGGCATGACTGATTCATAAGATAAGTTAGATAAATAGATATAGTACATACAGTCTTTTCTTTCCTCTTTCTTAAACTCAATATATCCATTCCATCCAATCCTTCCATCTGCATGTTCTACTCATCTACAGGAGCCAAGTAAAAGATCTTTGGCCATGACATGTTCTTCATGAATCATGTAATGGAAGTAGATTAGTTGTCTGGAGAACTTCATTTCTGATGATTTGTCCAGAAGGAGACCTGACTGGAGACCTGGCCACTAGACTTTGACTACAGCCAGGTTTCCATCCAGATGTAATGCAAATTCTAACCATATTTTGAGAAAAATCTGCAAAAGAAACTATGCCAGTTCCATTTACAACCATGATATGAATACTAGGAGATGACTCATTAAGTATTAGTAATGTATTAAGTGGCTCTCAGAAGAGATTTTGCTTTTATAAATATAATTTTCCATCTCACACAAGCAAAGACTTTTTTGTGATATTTTGAGTTTTTTTCTTTAACTTTTGGCATTTCCACTTGGCGTTTTTTTTATGCACCAAGTGTGCATGAAAACAGGTGGATGGAAACACATCTACTGAAACTAAAAAGGCCATTAGAAAACAGATTTGAATCCCTACATTTTGTAACTCACAAACTGAGAAATTTTTAACTCAAAATTTAGATATTTATCGACATGTAGACTTAGGTCTGACCTCAGACATGTAATATACTTGAAAGAAAAGCTTTAAAACACTAAAGTGATGTTGAGACACCAAGGGGTTAATTTCTGTGCTTAGTGATGAGAAAGTGAATGAAGGAAACCAAGCTTAAATTTGCCTGAGTCACTGTTGCGAAACAAGCAACACTGGAGATTAATATTGGCTTCTCAATACCACTTTCGCAGTTATTGGCAATAATGTTGCCGAGTGTTCACACAAGAAAAATCACATTAGTAAGCATGTGTGTGTCCATTTTGCATATTTCTTAATATTGTATAATCTTACGCATCTGCAAACGTGCACATTTGGGAGTACAGGATGTACTGGCCTGTATAGATGTATATTGAATGTCTTGAGGCGTCCCACCCAGAGACTCCTTCATGTGTCTGCTCAGATAGAGCCAAGTCTCAGGGCCATGAGCACATTCACAGCTGGCTCTCTGTAGACTGAGCTCTTGGACGGGTGGTACGATTCCCGATAACCATACAGCAACTCTTTGGGTCCCACCCATCGGGGGCATACGAGCAGGGTGGTGTGTAGCATCCGAAAAGCGACTTTTCAGGACCTTTGGGAATCTCTTATATAAACCATTATGGAAAGCTTGGACAGGAAAAGGTCAAAGCTGAACAAGCATGTGTTATCCCATGTTAGTCACATTCACATTAGCTACCGCCAAACATGTGTTCCTCATTATCTGCACCAGTACATGTGATTATACTTTTCTGACGATGACGTGTGGATCATATGGCTCCTTTTAAGGCAGCGATAAAACAAAGGAGTGAGAAGCTGGGGCTTTAAAAGTTCTGGGCGGAATGAGAAAGCAAACGTGTTGAATTGCTACATACGTGAGCAGAGCAGCTCTGACGCCACACAGCTGGTGTGTCACTGTCTCATCCCCTCCATATCAGATCAGGGAGGAACCAAAAGAGCATGTTTGGTTTTGTGTTTTTATATGAAATATTCTCTGTCATCAGATCCTGATTAGAGATGGCTCTACACATAGTGACCTTGGCTTGGCTTCCCTGGCGGTTCTGTGGGCCATCTGTGTGCAATGACTAAATGGTGGCCAGGGTGGCAGTGGCAGCAGCGTAGAACTGTGCTTGGGTGTTGGGACATGTCATCCATCTGCTGGCTTTGACACAGAAACACACAAACCACAAAGCAGCAGTTAAGAAACCCAAGAGGTTCAAATGATTCTTCACAGCCAAGTGTATCAAAAGAAAATGTAACGTGACATTTATTTTATCAAACTTGTGATAGATATCTGATGCTGGTGCCTGGCTGGACTCTTTAACAGTATTTTTTTTGATGTGATGGTAATTCATGTTTGATTTTGTAAAGTAAGTAAGTAAGTAAGTAAGTAAGTAAGTAAGTAAGTAAGTAAGGGGTTAATTAGCTTT